CAGTATGATACTGGTTTGTCATATGTGGCTCTGACTATCTTGAGGTGTATTCCCTTCAATATCTAGTTTATTGAAAGTTTTTAACATGAAAAGATGTTGAATTTTATTGAAAGCCTTTTCTGCATTTATTGAGATAATCATATGGTTTTTGTCTTAAGTTCTGTTTATGTGATGAATCACATTTATTGATTCGCGTATGTTGAACCAAACTGGCATCCTAGGGATGAAGCCAACTTGTTTGTGATGGATAAGCTTTTTGATGTGCTGCTGGATTTGGTTTGCCAGTATTTTGTTGTGGATTTTTGTATTGATGCTCATGAAGGATATTGGCCTGAAGTTTTCTTTTTTGGTGTATCTCTGCCAGGTTTTGGTATCAGGATGATGCTGGCCTCATACAATGAGTTAGGGAGGAGTCTCTCCTTTTCAATTGTTTGGAATAATTTCAGTACAAATGCTACCCATTGTTCTTTATACCTCTGGTAGAATTCAGCTCTGAATTCATCTTGTCCTGGGAGTTTTTTGGTTGGTAGGCTATTTATTACTGCCTCAATTTCAGAACTCATTATTGGTCTGTTCAGGGATTTAGTTTCTTCCTGGTTCTGTCTTGGGAGGGTGTATGTGTCCAGGAATTTATCCATTTCTTCTAGATTTTCTAGTTTATCTGCATAGAGGTATTTATAGTAGTCTCTGCTGGTTATGTGTATTTCTGTAGGATCAGTGGTGATATCCCTTTTATAATTTCTGTTATGTTTATTTGATTCTTCTCTCTTTTCTTTATTAGCCTAGCTAGTGGTGTATGTATTTTATTAATATTTTTCAAAAACCAGCTCCTGAATTTTTTTTTTTTTTTTTTTGGTCTCTTATCTCCCTCAGTTCAGCTCTGATCTTGGCTATTTCTTGTCTTCAGCTAGCTTTAGGATTTGTTGCTCTTGGTTCTCTAGTTATTTTAGTTTAGATGTTAGGTTGTTAACTTGAGATCTTTCTGGCTTTTTGATATGGGCATTTAATGGTATAAATTTTCCTCTTAGCACTGCTTTAGCGGCATTTCAGAGATTCTGATACATTGTCTCTTTTTTCTAATTAGTTTCAAAGAACATCTTGATTTCTGCCTTAATTTCCTTATTTACCCAAGTCATTCAGGGACAGGTTGTTTACTTTCTATGTAGTTGTGTGATTTTGAGTGAATTTCTTAATCTTGAGTTCTGCTTTGATTGCACTGTGGTCTGAGAGACTGTTTGTTGTAATTTTAGTTCTTTTTCATTTGCTGAGGAGTATTTTACTTCTGATTTTGTGTTCAGTTTTAGAGTAAACGCCATGTGGTGATGAGTAGAATGCATATTTTGTTGTTTTATGGTGGAGAGTTCTGTAGATATGTATCAGGTTCTCTTGATCCAGAGCTGAGTTCAGGTCCTGAATATCTTTGTCAATTTTCTGTGTTGTTGATCTGCCTAATATTGTTAGTGGGGTGTTAAAGTCTCTCAGTATTATTGTGTGGGGGTCCAAGTTACTTTGAAAATCTTAAGAACTTGCTGTATAAATCTGGATGTTCTTTTATTGGGTGCATATATATTTAGGATAGTTAGCACTTCTTGTTGAACTGAACTCTTTGCCATTATGCAGTGCCCTTCTTTGTCTTTTTTATCTTTGTTGGTTTAAAGTCTGTTTTGTCAGAAACTAGAATTGCAACTCCTGTTTTGTTTTTTTTCTGTTTTCTATTTGCTTGGTAAATTTTCCTCCATCTCTTTATTTTGAACCTATATGTGTCTTTGCATATGAGATGAGTCTCTTGAGGACAGCATACTGATGGATCTTGGCTCTGTATCCAGCTTGCTATTCTGTGTCTTTTTAACTGGGGCATTTGACCCATTTACATTTAAGGTTAGTATTATTATGTGTTAGTTTAATCCTGTCATCATTATGCTAGCTGGTTATTTTGCAGATTTGTTTATGTGGTTGCTTCATAGTGTCACTAGTCTATGTACTAAACTATGTTTTTGTAGTGCCTGGTGTCGGTTTCTCCTTTCCATATTTAGTCCTTTTTTCAGGAGCTCTGTTGCAAGGCAGGCCTGGTGGTGACAAATTTCCTAAGCATTTGCTTGTCTGAAAAGAATCTGTTTCTCCTTCATGTATGAAGCTTAGCTTGGCTGGATATAAAATTCTGGGTTGGAAATGTCTTTAAGAATGATGACTATTGGTCCCCAGTCTCTACTGGCTTATAGGGCTTGGGTTTCCGCTGAGAGGTGTGCTGTTAGTCTGATGGGCTTCCCTTTATAGGTGACCTGGCCTTTCTCTCTGGCTGCCTTTAACTTTTTTTTTCATTCTGACCTTGGAGAATCTGATGATTATGTGTCTTGGGGTTGATCTCATGGAGTACCTTACTGGGGTTCTCTGATTTCCTGAATTTGAATGTTGGCTTGTCTTGCCAGGTTAGGGAGGTTCTTCTGTATGATATTCTGAAGTAATGTTTTTCAACTTGGTTCTATTCTCCCTGCCTTTTTCAGGTACCCCAATCAGTCATAGTTTGGTCTCTATACATAATCTCATATTTCTCTGAGGTTTTGTTTATTCTTTTTAATTCTTTTTTTCTCTATTCTTGTCTGCCTGTCTTAATTCAGAAAGATAGTCTTCAAGCTCTGATATTCTTTCCTCTGCTTAGTCTGTTCTGCTATTGATACTTGTGATTACATTATAAAGTTCTTGTGTTTTTCAGTTTCATCAGGTTAGTTGTTTTTTTCTTAATCGCCTATTCTGGCTATCAGCACCTGTATTGTTTTATCATGATTCTTAGCTTCTTTGCATTGGGTTACAACATGCTCCTTTAGCTCAGTGAAGTTTTTTATTACCTACTTTCTGAAGCCTTCTTCTGTCAGTTCAGCTATTTCAACATCAGCCCACTTCTGTGCTCTTGCTGGAGTGGTGTTGTGATCCTTTGGAGCAGGAGAGGCACTCTGGCTTTTTGAGTTTTCAGCGTTTTTGTTGATTCTTTCTCATCTTTGTGGTCTTATTTCCCTTCTGTCTTTGAGCTTGCTGACCTTTAAATAGGATTTTTGTTGGGTTTTTATTATTGATGGTGGTGGTGTTGTTTTCTATTTGTTTGTTTGTTTTTCTTTTAACAGTCAGGCCACTCTACTGTAGTGCTGCTGTGGCTTGCTGTACTCCAGACCCTAATTGTCTTGGTTTTTCCCATACCCGGAAGTATCACCTTTGAAGGCTATGAAACAACAAATATGGCAGCCAACCCTTTCCTCTGGAAGCTTAGTTCCAAGAAGTTACTGACCTGTTGCCAGCCCACACGCATTTGTAGGACATGGCTGGAAACCCTTTTGGGAGGTCTCATCCAGTCAGGTGGAATGGGATTACAGACCCACTCAAAGAAGCAGTCTGCTGCTTTTTGGTAGAGCACATATGCTGCATTAGGGGGGACTCTTTCTTCTCTGGACCATTTGTATTCTCCAAAGACAGCAGGCTAGAATGGCTAAGTCTACTGAACCACAGAGATGGCAGCCGCCTCAGTCCCTGGTAACTTGGAACTGCCTCAGACAGATTCCAGACTGCTTTGGTTGGCTGGCTGGAATTCCAAGCCAGTGGGTCTTAACTTGTGAGTTGCTGTGGAAGTGAGACCCACAGAACAATGCTGTTTGGCTCCCTGGATTCAGCTCCCTTTCTAGGGATATATACAGCTAGATATCCACCCTTGCTGGGGATCCTGGGGCCAGAATATGTAAAACTTCTGGGTCTCTGTGTGTGCCTGAGCAGCTGCTTTGCTCAGACACCACACAGTTCTGTGTTTTGGACCCAAGGCCCTGGTAGTGTGAACCTGAGGAAATCTCCTGATCTGTGGGTTGCAAAGAACCATGGGAGAAGCATTGTTTTCTGGACAGGGTTACACGATCACTCACCACTTTTCTTGGCTGGGGGCTGAGGTTCCTTTGGCTCCATGCCACTCCCAGGTTGGCTGTTGTTCCCCCACCTTCTCCGGCTTTTCTACATTCTCATGGGTTAAGTTGTTTGCCCTGTCAGTCCCAATGTGAGAACCTGGGTATTTCAGTTGAAGGTCCTGAATTAACTTGGCCCTCTTCATTCCTCTCTGTGAGTGCCACAGACCACAGCTGCTTCTAATCAGCCATCTTGGATCAACCTTGTTATTCCCTTTTTCACTGGTTGTTTCATTTCACTCACATCTATAAGCAAAAAAAAAAAAAAAAGACACTTAAACAGCATAAAAAAGTGACTTTTGTAGGTTATTGTTTGGTAAAGCCTTTGATTTAAAAAATCTCTAATCATGAGCTATCACTCATATTTGGTCATTTTCTGTACTTATAATTTGGGTATCTAAGACTTAATGCTGAATTGGGGCATTTATAGAATAAATAAAATGCCAGACCTGTCTGGAAAAGCCAAGCTCAAAGCAAGAGTATGCTGTGGTGGGAGCAGGCCAACTGTGAAATCTTAAACTGCCTTCATGTCGTTACTATACCATTGAATAGCTATGTGAACTTGGACACTTTTTAGAACTTCACTTTCTTTAAGTGGAGTGAGGGTTGTTATGAGGCTTAAATGAGGTAATGCTTGTAAACTGCTTAACATTATGGTTGGTACACAATAAAGTTTAGCTGCTATTACCAGTTTTGTCTCTGAGGCTAGTTCCTAGATTTATGGAGTTACAGACCTGGAGAAACATATTAAAGTCCAGCATTATTCCTTATTTTAGAGAGAGAAAATTGATGCCCAGAGTCGCTGAAGTTTTCTGAGGCTTGGTTATCACGTCTAGGTGCTTTACAGCTTGGCTATGCTTTGAAGATCATCTAAGCTAATAGGTGGAAATGCTATGAAGATCATCTCAGCTAACAGCTAATAGGTGTCAGTTTTTTAGAGTTGTTCATACAGTGGCTAATTGCCTTGCCTGCTCAAGGACTGAATGATTTTATAAAATAGCTTTCTGCTTCTGACAATAGAAAAAGCCATATATTTTCTTCCTTTTTTTTTTTTTTTAAATTTAGATGTATCCAGTTAAAGCAGGCAATAGATGAAAATAAAAATGCTCTTCAAAAATTAAGCAAAGTAAGTATTGTGGTTAATCACATTATTAAAACATCTCTTCTTATACAAGTATTTTTATTAAGTGAGAATTAATTCAAGTTGATAAGTTCCTGGTTTTGCATTAGCGATATAGTCTAACTGCAGCCAGTGGCCCAACAGGTTTGCTAAGTCTGTGTGTCTGAGCGAAAAATCTGGGTCTCCAACTACCGAAAAATATTCAGCTTTGATGAACTCATCTGCTATTAAGGATTCAGACAATCCTGGAAGGAGCTATTTTTATTTTTGCATTTTGTGAGTTCTTTGTTTTACAGTTTAGAATTGTTTTTATTTTAATTTCCTTGTGGGGAAAGAATGCATAATCTGGCCCTGAGGGTAAGTGGCAAAGAAGCATCTTGTATCAAATAGCAGCTCTGATATTAATGACTCTGCAGAAATAGGAGTAATAGGAATTTAACTTTGGCAATCCCTTCAGGTTTTTTTTTTTTTCACATGAGCCTTGGCTACAGCTAGATATCTGGGTCCAGAGACCCATGGAGCCTTTAAAGTGGAGGGTACCTGAAAGTCAGCTCTCCAGCTGTATATTACTGACCTTTACTGCATCTGAGATATGTGGTCACTGAAGATCTCATCCAGATCTCTCCAGTGACAAAAAACTTTTCAACTTAGACTGTTGAAAAGTTTGAAAACCTAATTATAGGAATAATTAGGTGAGGAAGTGGAAGCTCTCAGTGGTGAAGCAGCCATGCCTCTTCTGTCAATAAGTGGCAGAATTTGGGTTTGGTGCCTGTCTTATTGACCGTAAAGCCAATCTTCTGTCAGAACCTATCTCTGGCTGACTATGGAAGGTTTATAATACTTAGCAAGGAAATGAAAACCCAAAACAAGTGGTGTAATTTTGTTTTTTTTCATTTGGTTTGCATTCCAACACAATCATCTATGTTTCTTTTAAATCTAATTTATTTCCCTAAGATAGGTGTAATGTCACACTGATAATTTGTTTTATAGCACTTATTGGAGTTTTTTGTTGTTCTTTTGAAATTAATAGGAAACTGAAATGAATTTTTCAGTAAAATGGACCTACATTCTCTCCTAGGCTGATGAACCTGCACCTGTTGCAAACTATAATCAGAGAAAAGAAGAGGAGCATAATCTTTTGGACAAGCTTACCCACCAACTGCAGGGCCTTGCTGTGACAATAAGTAGAGGAAATATAACTGAGTATGCTTCCTTTCTACCTTTTTTTCCTCTTTTTTTAAGATATGTAACCAATAGCTTTAATGTTTGACTCAAAGACATATAACGGTATAGATATAAACAAATGACACTAACAATGCTATCTGTCAACATTTGTTTATTGTGTATAATAGAAGTTGTTAGATCCCATGAGAGATGTAAAGAAGTGTAAGTCATAGTCTCTGCCCTCAGGCAATTTATAATTTAGTTGAGGAAACAAAGATCTGAAAACCTAAATGAACAAATGTTAGAAAATAAAGATGATATCTTTAATGTCAATGTTGATGTGTAAAAGGAAAGTGATTTGGAATGTCTACTTGCATTGTTTCCCCTTTCATAAACATTCTTTAAAAATTTGAAGCAAAGACTGAGTGTGGTAGCTCATACCTGTAATCCCAGCACTTTGGAAGGCTGAGGAACAAGGATCACTTGAGGCCAGGAGTTCAAGACCAGCCTAGGCAATATAGTAGACTCTGTCTCTACAAAAAAACCCAAACTAGTCAGGCTTGGTGGCTATAGTCTTATAGTCCCATCTACTTGGAAGGCTGAGGCAAGGTGGATTGCTTGAGCCCAGAAGTTCCAGGCTGCAGTGAGCTATGATCACCTCAGTACACTGTAGCCTGTGCAACAGAGTGAGACACTGTCTCTATTTAAAAAAAAAAAAAAAGGCTGGGTGTAGGTCATGCCTATAATCTCAGCATTTTGGGAGGCTGAGGCGGGCGGATCACTTGAGGTCAGGAGTTCAAGACCAGCCTGACCAACATGGTGAAACCCTGTCTAATAAAAATACAAAAATTAGCTGGGCATGGTGGTGGGTGGCTATAATTCCACCTACTTGGGAGGCTGAGGCTGCAATGAGCTGAGACTTTTCCACTGTACTCCAGCCTGGGCAACAGAGTGAGACTCTGTTTCAAAAAAAAAAAAAAAAAAAAGCAGGGACTTTTCTGCCAGAGTGAATGTTAATAGTAGCTTTTGAAAGTTGTAAAGAAGACTTACATATGCAAGATGAGTATTCCTTATCTGAATTGCTTGGGATCAGAAGTATTTTAAATTTTGGATTGTTCTGGATTTTGGAATACTTACATTATACTTACTGGTTGAGCATCCCTAATCTGAAAACCTACATTTTGAAAGACTCCAATGGCATTTCCTTTGATGTTATTTTGAAGCTCCAAAAGTTTCAGATTTGGGAGTATTTTGGATTTTGGATTTTTAAATTAGCGATGCCCAATGAACAAACCTAATTTGTGGGAAGCAAAATAAAAAATCAATTATTCAGACTCTTTCAGTGTTGTTCCCCAATCTTTATTCTGTCCCATGGGAAAAAGTGCTGAAGGTGGTAGATGCAAGGATCTAGAATTTCCACCAATTCTTAGTACTGAGAATGGCAGAGTAGTTGGTATTGGACTTACCTTCCCACCGTGTAAATGACTGTAAAGTCTGCAAAAATATACAAAGCATCTGTTTGAAGTCATTGAGCATCCACCAAGCAGGGTTGATATTCTTGATATAGGGAGATGCATGAAGTGAATCCTATGTTCACCTAAACTTCTTTTCTGGGAATAATTTATGGGCTGTGGTGGAGGAAGGTAGATTCCAAGCAGGGAGTAGCAGTCTTACTGGACTGAAGAGACAGGTCACACTTTGGAGCTGCCCAGTTCACTGGGAGTTGTGGAGCAAGGTGCTAGAGAGAAGGGAGCTGCAGAGAAACAACTCCAGCAATCTAAAAGGTCTACTGGGTTGTATAGGACATAATTCCTGCAAGGCCTGGCAGAAAGTGCCTGCTGGGAGACTGAGAGCTTAGTAGATTCTGGAAATCATATAGTCCTGGAAAACATTGGAGTTTGTACCTAACTATAGTAAAGAGACTTGGGAAATGCTTCAGGCATTTAGTAGAGATCACAGAAGGCCCAGGCCCCACGAGTAAAGAAAATACCCTGAGAGTAACAACCATGATCTAGGAATAAAGACAAAGCTGAAGTAGGTCTTCTCTATCAGAGCCTAAAAGCAGACCTTATCAGGAACGAGATATTTTAACTGTGTATCATTAAAAGAATTTAACACTTCTTAGAGGAATATAACATAATCCAAAGTCTGTAAGTGTGTCTTCTAATGTGTCCATCACAGCAACCAGTAAGTAAAAAAAATTAGAAATGCAAAAAAGCAGGGAAAAATACATGATCAATAAGTGACAAGATGGTCAGTAAAAACAGACCCAGACATGATCCAGATAGAGTTAGCTGACAAGGACTTCTAAATAATATGATAAATATGTTAAAGGAAATAGAAGAAAAGATGAATTAATTGGGGAAAAGAGTGTATTTTAAGAGAATTCATATATAGAAAAATCAACTAAACATTCTCTAACTAAAAAATATAATATTTGATAAACTAATGGCTGAGAACTTCCAAAATCTGACTCAATGTATAGACTCAAGAATCTGGGAAATGTCATAAAATCAGGAGATTAAATAACCAGTAGCTCAGAGATGTGAAAATTAGCAAATAAGAACCATAAAACAACAACTTATAGGAAAAGATAGATAAGATGAATAGAGAGGAATCTTAATCAGAGAAATAGAAACTAACAAAGACCAAAATGAAAATTCTGGAACTAAAAAATATAGTATATGAAATAAAATTATAGGGTGGCTTAATGGAAGATTAGATACAACAGAAGAAGGGATCAGTGAACCCAAAGACAGCTTTAAAACTTTTTCAAATTGATACATAAAAATTTAAAAGTGCAAGGAACAAAACAGAATGTAAGAGGTGAGACACTGTTAAAAGTTATAACAGATTTGTAGTTGAAGTCTTGGAAGAAGAGGAGCAAGAATGAAGCACAAGAAATATTTAAAGAGGTAGTGACTAAAAACATTTTAAAATTACTATCTAAGAAAGATTTCAATCCACTGATCCAAGAATCTCAGGGAACCCCAAACAGAATTGTAAAGAAACCCACACACAGGTACATTAGAGTCAAACTACTGAAAACCAAAGATAAATAGGAAATCTTAAGAGTTGCCAAGGGAAAAAAGGAAACATGTAGAGACAAATGACAAAATTACAGTTGCCATCTTGTGAGAAAAAATACAGGTCAGAAGACAATGTAGTAACATCTTAAAAACATTGAAAGAAGAAACCATCAACTCAGAATTCTGTATCTGGCAAAAGTATAAAAAATTAAAGTGAAATAAAGACACTTTCAGGCAAACAAAAGCTGAGGAAATTTGTCAATTTACCTGCAGTATAAGAAATGTTAAAGGAAGTTCTTCAGGCTAGCAGGCAATGATCCCACATAGAAATTTTGATCTTCAGAAAGGATTGAAAAAGATGGGTATGTGGGTAAATATAAAAGCCTCTTTTTTTCTTTTCTACATGCCTTTAACAGACACTTGATTACATAAAGCAAAAGGTACATTTGGGGTTTTATAATATCCAATTGATTATCATTATTTGCAGTAGTTATATTCTATAAAATTGCCATGAACACTCGATTAGCAAATATTAAACCATTGCTTCTGGGGAAATAAGTCTAAAAATAGACTTAAGACTCCTGTGAGCCTCTGGTCACAATGTTTTTGTCAACTGAGTGACATACAACCTTGTGTTACTGTTTAAAGACCCCTTATATCAGATATTTTATTGATTCGTTAACATTGAATTCACACCAACAGCACTATCACTCATGCATGAACGAGTATTATCTAACACATGATTTTCTCCAGAGGTAGATTATAGCCTTCTTGTACTTAGGAATAGCACACAGCTCTTCAGCGCTATGTTTGGGGGCCATTTTACACACCAAAATCACCAAAAAAAAAAAATTGCAAAAAGTGGCACTAAATAGACTGCAAAAAAGACACTTTCCTATATGAGAGCTGAAAAAAAAAAGGCAGGTGTCACCACACTCAACTTCCGTTGGGAATGTGTATGCCAGACAACTCAAATTTTTTTGCCACTTTGTGTATGTCCACAAGTGATCACAAAAACATGGCAGTTATTAATTAGGGAGTTACAAATAAACTTTAGTGAGCCAATGAATTCACAAATACAGAATCCGCACATTACAAGGACTGAGTATATGTAGAAGTAAAATGAGACAATAGCTTAGCATAGCACAAAGTCTGGCAGGTAAATGGAATTATTTATCTTAAAAGTTATTTTATCTTTGGTGAAATATGATATTAGACTATGATAAGTTAGAGATGCATATTGTAATACCTAAAACAATCACTAACAAGGTAATACAAAGAAATGTAGCTAGCAAAACAGCACAATAAATGGAATATTAAAAGCGATTTTATTAAACCAAAAAAGGCAATAAAGGAGAAATTAAAAATAAAAAACAGGTGAGACAAATAGAAACTAAATAGTAACATGGTTTCAAAGCAGCCGTTTGGATAGTTACATTAAATGTAAATGGAGTAACATTCCAATTACAAGAAGGATTGTCAGATTGAATTTTTTAACCCAAATATATACTATTTAGAAGAGATACACTTTAGTATACAATTATAGAGAGATTGAAAGCAAAGAACTGGAAAAAGATATTCCATGTTCTATAACAAAGATATTCTTTGTTCTATAACCAAAACAAAGGTGATGTGGTTACAGTAATATCAGCTACTTAAAGCTAAAAGTAATCTACTGTTTAAGAAAGGACATTTTGTAATGTTGAAAGAAAGGTTCGATTCAACAGGAAAAAAAATTCCTCAATGTGTATACATTTAATAACATGGGTTCAAATGTATAAAGCAAAAGTTGCCAGAACTAAAGCAGAGCTACATAATTCACAATCCTTAACCACCTTCATCTAATTACACATAGTCAAGCCTTTCTTAATGACAGGGAGATGTTCTGAGAAATGTGTCATTAAGTGATTTCATCATTGTACAAATATCGTAGAGTGTACTTGCACAAACCTAGAAGGTATAGGCCACCATAGACTTGGGTTACACAGTGTAGTCTGTTGCTCCCAAGCCACAAACCTGGACACCACGTCACTGTGCTGAATACTGTAGGCAATTCAGTTGTAACACAGTGGTATAAATGTTTGTGTATCTAAACCTATCCAAAAATAGGAAATGTACAGTAAAAATATGGTATGATATCTTATGGGACCATCATTGTATATTTGGCCCGTTGTTGACTGGAACATTGTTGTTCAGTGCATGACTGTGTATGTGTAGAACATAGCACCTAAGTATGTGTTATGTAAATAATATTCTTTTCAGTGCGTTAATGAAACATAATGTTATGTAATTAATGTAACATTAATGAAAATGAACCATGTTAGACCATAAAGTAATTATCATCAAATTTCTAAAGTTTGAAGTTATATAATATTATGTCTATTCTTTGATGACTTGGAATGACATTAAAACCCAATGACAGAAAAAATAATTAGAAATCACTACTGTTTGCAAATTTTCACACACTTCTATATAAACTGTGAGTCAAAGAAAATATAACAGTGGCAATTAGAAACTATTTGGAATGATAATAAAATGACTGTGGGTTGCAACCAACGTAGTGCTCAGAGGGAAATTTCTATCTTTTGTTTGTTTGTTTTGGAGACAGGCTCTCTGTCACCCAGGCTGGAGTGCAGTGGTGCAATCTCGGCTCACTGCAACCTTCACCTCCTGAGCTGAAATGATCTTCCCTACCTCCACCTCTCTGAGTGGCTGAGACTACCAGTGTGTGCCACCAGGCTTGGCCAATTTTTTAATTTTTATAGAGGCAAGGTCTCACTATATTGCTCAGGCTGGTGTTGAGCTCAAGGGTTCATGCAGTCCTCCCACCTCAGCCTCCCAAAGTGCTGGGGTTACAGGTGTGAGCCAGTGTACCTAGCCGGAAATTTATATCTTTAAATGCATAGTTTGAAAAAAAAGTTGTACATCAATTACTAAAGCATTGAACTTATTTTTTTTAAAAGCGTATTATACACCTTTTAAAAAATTATTATACTGGGATACATGTGCAGAATAGGCAGGTTTGTTACATAGGTATACCTGTGCCGTAATGGTTTGCTGCACTCATCAACCAGTCATCTACATTAGGTATTTCTCCTAATGTTATCCCTCCCCTAGTCCCCCACCCCCTGATAGGCCCCTGTGTGTGTTGTTCCCTTCTCTGTGTCATTGTGTTTGCATTGTTCACCTCCCACTTATGAGTGAAAACATGTGATGTTTGGTTTTCTGTTCTTGTGCTAGTTTGCTGAGAATCATGGTTTCCAGCTTCATCCTTGTCCCTGTAGAGGACATGACTTCATCCTTTTCTGATTCCCATTCATGCAGCCTGGTTTAGGTGTCCCTTTTGTGTGACTGATTTCTTAGTATCCTGTATATACCTCTACTCTAGTACCTATTGCACTGTTTTATAATTCTCCATTTTCTAGATTGCCTCATTGCAAGCTCCTTGAGGATGGGGATTTGTGTCTGGTTTACCTTTGTGTCTACTGTGTGTCTCTCTGACATGGAACTTGACTTACACCATCAGTGTCATCATCATAACTGACTTTTATGGAAAGCTTGCTATGGGCAAGCACTGTTCTAAACACCTTGCAAGTAGTAACTCATCTGAATCCTCATGAAGGCAGATTCTATGATTATCTCTACTTTACCAATGAGAAATGAAGAGCTTAAAAGAAACCTGTCTAAGGTCACCCAGCAAAGAGGGAATAGAGCCAGAATTTAAATTTAGCAGAGTCCATGCTGTAAGTACTTCATAATAATGCTCGAAGAGCATTTTCTGAATGGATAAATTGAAGACTTGAATTCAAGTCTCCTGGCCTCAAGTCCAGGGATGCTCTGCCATCTCACATACATAACTCAGCTCCCTTTCCACCCCAGTCTCTCCAAGCACACCTTCTTAGTTAGATGGTAGAAATTGTTCATTGTATTTTCCTTCATTTCTTTTATTTGCCAGCTCCAAATATGGGATATTCATGTATATATAGAAGTTATACTCATAGCTGGTCTGTTCTTGTATATTATTTCAAGTGGGCCTACTCATAGAAACACTTTTTGTAGAGTTGGGGTGTCTACTGAAGAAGAAGAAAGTGAAAGTGAAGAAAGTGAAGACAGTGGTGAGGAGGAAGAAGATGCAGAGGAGGAAGAAGATGCAGAGGAGGAAGAAGATGAAGAGGAGGAAGAGGAAAATGAATCTCACAAACGGTCAACCAGTGAAGAATACATTGCTGTTGGAAATTTTACTGCTCAGCAAGTTGGAGATCTTACATTTAAGGTAGGTAGAATAAGACTGATACCTAACCTCGGGATTCATGTCTATACCTGACAGAATAAGGAAACTCTGTATACCTGTATTATAGATTCTTGAAGTTTTTTAACAATCTGTTTAAATAAGTAATAATTATGATTTGCAAGCAGTAGTAATATGAGATTATGTTACTACAGTTATCTCTTCTAAAGATTTTTGAAACTAGCTTTATTGTTGAGAATTCCTAACTTAGGGGTAAAATTTTATAATTTGTTATTGAATGTCATATGTATAAATGCATTCAAGTGAGTGAAGACAATGTCCATAGGTGGAGGTAGAAGGGAGTACTTCCTGCCATTTTGTAGCAATCTTTCCTGTTAACTTGATATGAAAGGGGCTTATATCCATGCTTGCTTGGACTGGGCATAAATAAGTGGCAGGTGGGACGGAACAATACAGGTGTGATTTTTAAAGGAATTTGAACCTGTGTTTTCTGCTAGAGAAATGAGCCAAAGGAATTTAAGTGAATATATGAATTTTGGTTCTTATATTAAACTTCAAAGTTTAGTAACTGATTAATAATCAAATACACAAGAATATTATGCAACTAATTATATGGTTTGATTTATAGATTTTTTTCAAATTCTCCTGAAAAATGGCATCAACATTAGACAATAATGTATGTTTTACGAAAGCGTTTGCTTTCTTAGTGTCCTCAGTAGTGGAAATGCTTTTGTCTTCAAAGATGAATTTTATTTTTATAAATGAATGAGTGTTATTCAAAACATATCTGGTGAATTAAGTGGGTAATTGTACTCACTAAATACTGTTTTTCATTAAAAATAGGGTTCAAGTTTAATGGAATTGATTTTTTTGGGGGAATTCATGTGCTGCTTCTGAAAGACACTTTTCCAGAGAGATTAAAATATTCACACCGGGCATGGTGGCTCACACCCAGTAGTCCCAGCACTTTGGGAGGCCAAGGCAGGCAAATCATGAGGTTAGGAGATCGAGACCATCCTGGCTAACACAGTGAAATCCTTTTTTTTTTTTTGAGACAGAGTGTCGCTCTTGTTACCCAGGCTGGAGTGCAATGGCACTATCTCGGCTCACCACAACCTCCGTCTCCTGGGTTCAAGCAATTCTCCTGCCTCAGCCTCCTGAGTAGCTGGGACTACAGGCACGCGCCACCATGCCCAGCTAATTTTTTGTATTTTTAGTAGAGACGGGGTTTCACCACGTTGACCAGGATGGTCTTGATCTCTCGACCTCGTGATCCACCTGCCTTGGCCTCCCAAAGTGCTGGGATTACAGGCTTGAGCCACTGCGCCTGGCCTGTGAAATCCTTTTTTTACTGAAAATACAGAAAATTAGCTGGACATGGTGGCACGTGCCTGTAGTCCCAGCTATTTGGGAGGCTGAGGCAGGAGAATCTCTTGAACCCAGGAGGTAGGAGGTTGCAGTGAGCTGAGACTCTGTCTCAAAAAAAAAAAAAAATTCAAAAATGTTTTACACAGTAATTGAATATTTGGAATAAGTATGGGGCCTTAAAAATGATTGTGAAAAATGGTTCCTATTTACATAAATGGTTCAAGTGTATATTAGGTAACCAGAAGGAATGATTCATTAAATTATGTCACATTTATGGTTTAGGTGAGTTAGGCAGATTACATAGGGGTTGGGTAACAGGGAAGCTTTTGATAAAACTTAGAAAAAATATTAGATTAAGAAAAGACTTTGCCTTTTCTTCAGCATATATTTTGAATCATTGGTAATGATATATACTCATGATTTTTGAATTTTATTTAAAATTTTTTACTTTGTTTTCCTTTAAGAAAGGGGAAGTTCTCTTTATAATTGAAAAAAAACCTGATGGTTGGTGGATCGCTAAGGATGCCAAAGGAAATGAAGGTCTCGTTCCCAGAACCTACCTGGAGGTTAGTCTTGGTTTGTGCTTTCCTTTTCTAAGCCTTTTTTTTTTCACTTCTAATAAAACATTTAGCTGTGTTCTTTTGACAATTTGACTAGTGAATGACTTGAGATACAGAATTTGCTTTAATTTTGGAGGGACAGCACCTGGGAAACACATTGTATATTAATGGCCCTGGGGACCTGTGAAGTGTTATGCATGTGAGCCCTAGAATGTGATCTCACAGCAAGGATGCTTTGTGGATTAATGCTGATCAGAACAAATAATAGATGTCTATTGTTTATTGCAGAAACATAACCACAGGTAACTTTGTGTTAACTTCCACGAATATGTGATCCCCTTACTAAAATGTAAACACACTATACATGCGTGTTTGCAGCCAGTATTTTCTGATTTCATAAAATAACATGGTCATTTTCTGTGCTAAGATATGTAAATTTCTGTCTGGATCAGCACTGTCCAGTAGTACTATGATGCAAACCACACATGTAATTTAAATTTTTCAATATCTACATTAAGATATCTTTTTGCTGACATTACTTCTGACACCAAGTATGTGGATTTTCTCTGACACCAAATTATGTGTTTCTATATCAGTTCTCCTACACCAACCAGTGCCAGCAATTCAGTTTGATTCTGACACTAATGCCTGGAGCTAGCACAGACCCCCATAGGATAAAGGCTCAGTCCCACAAGACTACAGCCCACTTCCGTTGCCGGTCACAAGAGACACCCATACTTCTTATGTCCTAAGAGCCACCCATACTTCTTACTGACTGGCTGTACAGTCACGAGTTCCCACACCCTCACCTCAGGGTTTCAGTAATTTACTAGAATGACTCATAGAACTCGGGAAAACACTTTCCTTGCATTTCCCAGTTTATAATAAAGGATGTAACTCAGGAACAGCCATAGACTGAAGTATTGATGGCGGGTGGCTGGCATGCTCTCTCTGGGCCTGCCACCCTCCCAGCACCTTGCTGTGTTCACCATACTGGAAGCTCCTGGAACCCTATCACTTAGGGGTTTTTATGGAGATTTCATTAGTTGTATTAACTAAATCATTACCCATTGGTGATTAACTTAAGTCTCCAGCTCCTCTCCCCTCTACTGAGGTTGGAGGGTGGGGCTGAAAGTTCTAACCTGTAATTCCCCAGGTTGGTTTTTCTGGCAACTCTCCCCTTCCTGAAGCTGTCCCACCTAGAGTTACCTCATTAGCATAAACTCAGGAATAGTTGAAAGGGACTCCTGATGAATAAGAAAACATACTCCTACCATTCAGGAAATTCAAAGGGTTTCAGGAGCTCTCTTCCAGGAACCAGTGAGAACAAACATATTTTTTTTTCATTACACATATTTTTACAAAGTAAAAAGAAACAGGAAGAATTATTTTAAATATATTTTATATTATCCAGTATTTTGACATATAATCAATATTTTAAATTGTTGAGCTGTTTTGCTTTTTTAACATTAAGTTCAAAATCCAGTGTTTGTTTTACATTTATAGCACTTCTCAATTTGGACTAATTTCAAGAGCTCACTAGCTACATGTGCCAAGGGGCTATAGTGTTACAGAGGGCAGATCTAGATCATCTTTTTCAATGGCAGCAAGTCTTCTAATCTCATTTAGATGGTCATTTAAGTTGTTTCAACCTATAGTCACTATCAATTATATTGCAGAGAACATGGGATTAGCATCCTCTGTCAGTTACTAAAAGATCCCCCCCAAAAAAGTAGCTTAAATAAGGTAGAAGCGCGTTCCTCTCAAGCACAAAAGTGTGGAGAAAGGCAATCAAGAATTGGTTAAGATCCTATCTAATATTTTACTGTGTTTCTGATATGAGGCTGCTCTTCCTAGAGTTATCTATTTAGTTTTAAGTCAGCTGCTGGATCTTTTAAGGATTCCGAGCAGCAAAAGGAGAAAGCAGTCAAAACACATAAGCTTCTGCCTTTTTAAGAAGGTTTCTTGGAAGTTACGCAAAAAACTTTCAGTTGTTGCTCATTGACCAGCACTTAGTTCTCTGGCAACACTTAGCTGCAAGGAAGTTTTGGAAAATGTAGCCTTTTAAATGGATCATTGTCCAAAATCAGGGATTTTGTTTGGAGGAGGTAGGGAATAGGTGGTAGCCAACTGGCAACTTGTGTTGTCATCAAGTCTGCATGCATCTTTGCACACTTGCCTTAAGTAAATTCCTAGATGATCATCACTGGTTCAAAGGGTTTACTCCTTCGTTTTTTATTTATTTTTCCAATTTGCCTTTTAGAAAAATTACGCTGATTTGTACTCTCACCTCTAACAATCAGAGAGCGCTGTTTCCTCAGACATTTGCCTATGAAAGCTGTTATCAACCTTTAAAATTTTTGCCCATATGACCAACAAAAAGGTGTGTTTAGTGGTTTTATGTGCATTTATTTTACTCCTAATGAGGCTGAGCATCATCTCATATGTTTTATGTCCATTTGTATATCTTCTTTGCAAATGACCCTTTTGGTTTACTTTATTGATACATAATATTTTATGTATTTATGTGAGTGCTTTTTACTTGCATGGATTGTGTAATGATCAAGTTAGGGTATTTGAGATTTCCATCACCTTGAGTGTTTATCATTTCTACATATTGGTACCTTTTCATTTCTTTTGGCCATTTTTTTTTCTAAGGGATTTAAAAGCTCTCTCATTGAGTTTTAGGAGCTTTTTATAATATTTTAATAATAAGGTTATTAATCTTTAGATATCTGTGTTAGATATTTTTCCCCCTCAGGATATGTGTAAGTTATGTGTTAGATATTTTCTTTGTGAACTTTAGGTCATAAAAAATCCACTTATGATTTTTTTATTTTGGTATCATAATTGGAAAGGGCTTCACCGTCTCCAGATTATTTTCTTCTAATGCTTTTTTCTTTCTTTTCTTTTTTATTTGAATAAATTCTATCTGTAATTTATTTTGATTAAAGTTGCTCTCTATCTCAATCCTTATTATTTTTTGGAATAGTGAAGTTATTAACCATGTGTTGAAAATTTATTTCCCACGAATTTTTATATGCTCATTATATATACTAAGTTCCCATCTGTGCTCGAGGTTTTCTGAAAGCATTGATGCTTTTGTTTTTTTCTTTTTAAACAGAAAAAAACTGGAGGGTTAGGTGGCAGTACTGGTATTTTTATTGGTTGATTTTTGCATTAGTTAAAAAGCACTTCACTTTTCAATGGTTTTTTTAGCCTTATAGTAAAGAAGAAGAAGATCAAGAATCAAGTGAAGAGGGCAGTGAAGAAGATGTAGAGGTGGTGGATCAAACAGCAGATGGAGCAGAAGTTAAGCAAAGGTACAAAAGTGGGAAAGGATATCAGAGTAGGTTTAGGAAACATTTTGTTTATTTTTACTGTTATAAATAATTCATTGCTTTCTTGAAGTGGAGACAACTTGTACCTGGAGAGCTTGTCATAGTATTGTCTGTTTAAAGATCATTACTATTTTAATTTTGTAATTATTTTTAATACATTTAGTTCTATCTTGTTTTCATCTGGAAACTGTTAGGTTTTCAAAACTTACTGATGATTATAAACTGTAATTAAAGAAACTCCCTAACTGAGTGAATAGGCATATCATGACCTGACTCACTTTGCTATTTTGTCTCCCCAGAACTGATTCCCACTGGAGTGCTGTTCAAAAAGCGATCTCAGAGGTGAGTATCTTCTATCTTATTAATGATGTCTTGTTTTATTACCCAATAGATCTGATGGGAAACAGGATGGAGACTGTGGAAGACAGCAATGATCTGAAAGAGGGTTCAGCTGCTCTGGAACACAGAGCTCTGCATGCTAAGCACTGTATGGTGCTTAGGTCCTTAGGAGAGGCAGATTCAGTGATGGCATCCTCTCAGGAATTTGGGGCTAAATCATATTAATCTTCCAATAAAGTCCTGTACGTTTATATTTTCCTTTTTTGAGTTATAGTTACTCTAGTGATAAAGAGAAAGTATTATAGAGGTGTGAAACCATGACTGAAAACAAATTTATTTTGATGTTACTATCTTCAGCAGATAAACACTGTTGATGTGTTAACCACGATGGGAGCTATTCCTGCAGGATTCAGGCCTTCCACACTCTCGCAACTTCTGGAGGAAGGTAATGTGTACCTATCAGCCACTGCACTCTTTGAGCCAAGCAGTCAAGGTCTATGTCTAATTTTTCTATTATGGGCAAAACACATTGTTGAAGAAGTATAAAATGCTTTTGTGTTAAGAAGTAAAACTAATGACTGTATTTTTTCTAAAGTCTCTAAAAAGTGCTTACAGATTTCTGCATTTTACAAAAATATTTGAATTGTCTTCATCATGGGGCATGTTATTGGCCTAAAAGTCTTTCTTAGAGGTGCTTTAAGAGGATCTTTTATGTGTTTTATCTGTAAGTTTTGTACTATTGTTTTTATGCATAAATCTATATTGGTGCTTCTATTTTGGAAAGCAGGTTTTTAGTAAGCAGCATGGCATTTTGGAAGTGTCTGTACCCTATAACATAATATTATGGATTTTTGATTTTGAGTTCTTTTTTTTGTAAGAAAATTAAAGAAAAATTATTTTTTCAGGGAATCAATTTCGAGCAAGTTACTTCTTACAACCAGAGCTCATGCCTTCTCAACTGGCCTTCAGAGATCTGATGTGGGATGCTACAGAAGGCACTGTAAGTATAGTTACTATCAGTAAAACTGTAAATCTTCCAGATTTTGTCATGTTTGCAAGCAGACAAACAGCATGTTAATTGATTAATGCATTATTAAAGAAACTAGTTTCTATATGATAAATTTGAAATAGTGATATTTTTACAACTAAGAATTTGGACTTGTTTCTTTTCTCCATTACCCTCTTCTCTCATTGTTAAAAAGGAAATAATACTAGATTTGTTCTATCTTAATTATTCTTTGCCTCAATTTCTTCATCTGTAAAAATGGAATAATAATAATGCTTCCAACATAGAGTGATTTTGAAAATTATGTGTGTGATGGGCTTTGAATAATGCCTGGCATATGAAAAGAACTCAGTAGATGTTATCCAGTATTATCATTATAGTAGTAGTAGCAGTAGTAGTAGTATTTTTGAAACAGAGTCTCCCTCTGTCACCCAGGCTGGAGTGCAGGTGTGTGATCCTGGCTCACTGTAACCTTGAACTCCTAGGCTCAAGTGACCCTCCCACCTCAGCCTCCTGAGTAGCTGGGGCCACAGGCCTACACTACCATGCCTGAGTAATTTTTGTATTTTTTGTAGAGATGGGGTTTTGCCATGTTTCTAGGCTGGTCTCAAACTCCTGAGCAATATGCCCTCCTTTCCCTCCCAAAGTGCTAGGATTACAAGTATGAGCCACCAATCCTTGTCTGATATAAATTATTTAAATGAAAAGGCTTATGACCATAAAGCAGAATGCAAAGTTTAATTAATTGAAGCTGTTCTTTAAAAATAAAATAGAATGTCAATTTATTTACTCACAATCTGAACTATACCTATGAAGTAAATCTGAATAAATATATCAAATAGTGCATTCTGTCTGTTAAAACACCCATCAAGAAACTAAAGAACAATGTAGATAATTGCTTGGGATGAAAAATAGTAGGATATCTTAATGCCAGGTGGTGTTGGTTTTATGCTGTGTTAACCTTCTGCACTTACCGCATTCTGTAGGAGTGAACCTGGGGACTAGTGATTCTGTAGTCAGATCATAGACATTTTACCTGCTAGTATTTATTGTTCCTTTCATCACAGTTTTTAAGTATTTAAGAAAAATGCCAGTATTTCAAATGTAGCACTATGAAAAATTTATCTGAAATGACTGGTTTTAATGTTCAATGAACAAAGTATTGAAATTTTTCTTACATATGTGTAAATTTTGTTTTCTTCTTTAAAAATTCTGTATACATTTTCTTAAGCTGAATTTACAAAAGACAGATTTGTGTTATAAATCAGAAAAATAAACTTTTTTTATAACTAATTTTTCTTTCAGATTAGGTCAAGACCAAGTCGTATTTCATTGATTCTGACATTATGGAGCTGTAAAATGATTCCTCTTCCAGGAATGAGCATACAGGTTCTCAGCAGACATGTACGCCTCTGTCTATTTGATGGTAATAAGGTGAGCTTACTAAGAATTAAATCAGTTCATACTAGGATTATGGAGAAACATTTCCTTAGATTATTTTCCATTCAACTCCTCTCCAATTCCTAAGAGAGTATTTCTTACCCAGTACCAAATAAAAGTTTGAATGACTCTTTAAAAAGTTCATTTTTAATGAGATACAGGTTAAAAAGTACTTAGATGGAAATTTATAGTTTTAATTGTGTGTATTAGAAAAAAAGATAAAAGAAAGATTTAAAGTCAGTGATCTAAGCTAGCAAATCAAGAGGCTAGAAAAAGAAGAGTGAGTTAAACCTGAAGAAAATAGAAAGCAGGAAATAATACAGATGAGAGTAGAAATCAATGAAATAGAAAACAGATGAACCAAAGAGAAAATAAAGACAAAAGTTGATTCTTTGAAGTCATTAATAAAACTGAAAGGCACAGTGAGATTGATCAAGACATGTTTTAAAAAAAGTAAAACAAGGCTGGAAATGGTGGCTCATACCTGTAATCCCAGCACTCTGAGAGACTGAGGTGGGCAGATCACCTGAAGTCAGGAGTTTGAGACCAACCTGGACAATATGGTAAAACCCCATCTCTACTAAAAATACAAAAATTAGGGTAGTGTGGTGGTGGATGCCTGTGATCCCAGCTACTCAGGAGAGTGAGGCAGGAGAATTGCTTGAATCCGGGCGGTGGAGGTTGTAGTGAGCCAAGATGGCACCAGTGCACTCTAGCCTGGGTGACAGAGCAAGACCCCATCTCAAAAAAAAAAAAAAAAAGCAAAAGGAAACAAACTATTAACATCTGTCATGGAAACAGAGACATTATCACAGATCCTGCAGACATTAAGAGTCCAATATGGAGATATTATAAAAAACTTCATCAGTAAATTTTACAACATTGACGAAATAGATAAATGCCTAGAGAACCATAATTTACTGGAACTAGCATAAGAAGAAATATAAAATGTGAATAACCTCTGTTAAGGAATTAAAACTGTAATTTAAAAAAATCTACTCACAAAAATCTTCCCACAAACTTCAGGTCTAGCTGGCTTCACTTGTGAATTTTTTCAAACATTTAAAAAAGAAATAATACCAGTCTTACACAAATTCTCCCAAGGAATAGATGAAGGAGAAATGTTTCCCAACTCATTTTGTAAGACCAGAAAAACATGACCCCAAAATATGACAAGGTATTACAAGAAAGGAAAATTACCGGATACTATCCTTCATAAATGTAGAAAGTAAATTCTTAACAAAATATTATTAAATTGAATCTAGCAGTATATAAAAAGGACATTATATCATGACCAACTGGAGTTTATTTCAGGAATTCAAATATAGATACCTGGGTAACCACATTTAACATTTGAAAATCAATCATTATAATTTGTCAAAAGAAAAATCATGGTCATCTTAAGAGATATGGAAAAAGCATCTGACAAATTTCAACACCCATTTATGAGTTTTTAAAAATTCTCTATAAACTAGGAAGAGAAGGGAGAGTACTCAGATTGGTAAAATGCAACAAGGAAAAACTAAAAGTAGAATTATCATAGTTAATTGTGAAATGTTGAACACTTTTTTCCTAAGACCAAGAACAAGTCAAAGATATCTAAGAAATAAGAAGATAACTCAGTTTTTAAAGGGACAAAAAACTTGAACAGCCCCTTCAAAAAAGAATATGAAAAGCCACTAGAAGTCAGAAAAGATACTCAACATGTAAGAAGTCATCAAGGAAATGCAAACGTAAACCACAGTGAAAGAGATCCACCTATATATTATATATAAGAAACACACCTTAAATATAATGCTATAGGTAACTTAAGAGAAAAGGATGGGAAAAGATATACCATTCAAAAGATACTAATATCAGACAAAGTAAACTTCAGGCACTACATAGTGATAAAAGAGATCGTTCACCAAGAAGACATAATGATCCTAAGTGGGTATGTACTTAACATCAAAAATTTAACATACGTGAAGTAAAAAATGGTTAGAACTGAAAAGACAAACCAGCAAAGCTACAGTTATAGTTGGGGCCTCCATTATAGTTGGAGAGTGTAACACCTTTCTCTCAGTAATATAGGACAAGCAGACAAAATTAGTAAGGATGTAAGAGAACTAACATATCAACAAATTAGATTAGATTGATATTCACATAATACTTTATCTCAAATACACATTCTCTTAAATACATATGGAATATTCACCTAGATAGATGGTCCTGGATCAGAAAACAAACCTAGTCAAATTTAAAAGAATTGGAATCATGTAATATATGATCCTTGATTGCATGAAATTAAATTAGAAATCAGTAACAGAAAAATAAATGGAAAAATACTCAAATACTTGGAAATTTTAAAACTTCTAAATAATCAAAGGGTTAAAAGGAAATTTCAATGGAAATTAGAAAATATTTTGAATTGAACAAAAAATGAAAATGCAACATATCATAATTTGTGAGATGTTACCTAAAGCATTCCTTAGAAGGACATTTATAGCACTAGATGCTTACATTAAAAAAGAGTTCTCAAATCAATAGTCAAAGCTCCTTCCTGAGAAGGCAGTGCTGTTTGAGCTGATAACAGCTGACGTGAGATTAAATGAGTTAACATAAGGGAAGTTATCAGAATGATGTTTTGCATAGAAAGAACATGATATTGTACGTAGAAAGAGCATAGTAAGTACTTTTGAAGAGTGGATGAGAGGTGGTTGATGATAACTTAGAGAAGTGGGGGTGGAAATGGAAGATGTGGACAATGTTATTTGGGAGTAAAAATCAACAAAATTTGGTGATGGATTGGATATGGAAGGGGGAAGGGAAGTGGGGTATAGACATGACACCAACGCTCTGACTTCCACATCTGGATGGATGGTGGCAACATTCAATGAGATGGGGAACACTGGAAGAGGACCAGGTTTGGAGGAGTTGATGTGGGCTTGATTTTGCTCATGCTGAGTATACTACTAACACCCAGCATGAAGAAAGTGCCTTTATTTCATCTGAACTTGGGGTAAATAAATGAATTTATGATAGTGATCCTCTCTCACTTATGTAATACATACTGCACAAAGTCATTGCCACAAGTGAGTCAGTAGGGGTCCTCAGTGACCAAGAAGAGCTGAATTGCTTTCTTTTTCCTACACCGGGTTTGATACTTTTTCCTTGTTCTCATACATAAGAACATAAAGGATGGAATTTTATTTTGAATAATATATCAAAATCATGAAATTTACTTTATGAAACTGATTTATGTCAGATTTGCAAATTGAGAGTTATGGAACATATTTAATAGCTGTACAGATACTTAACGTTGTTTATGTAGGAACTCTTCTTTAATAAATTTGAACCTAGTTATGAATAAAAAGCATTGTTGCTAAAACTAACTAATGAGACACCACTTCCAGTAATGGCTAAGTCAGCTCCCCTTGGACCAACCCACCCAGAGATAGCAAGTGTAAACCCCGGGCAAAATAAAAAGCAACTACCTGAAGGCACTGCAGAGCATTCAGAAGTGGGCAGACACTGGAGAGGAGCCTCAAGTCTTTGGTCCACTGCTTTATCTTTTTCTCTTTGTTTTCTCTCTTTTCTTTTTACTGTCTTCCTGTATTAGTTTGTTCTCACACTTCTAATAAAGACATACCTGAGAGAGGACAATTTACAAAAGAACAGTTTATCGTACTTACAGTTCCACGTGGCTGGGGAGGTTTCACAATCATGATGGAAGGTGAAAGGCATCTCACATGGTGGCAGGCAAGAGAAGAGAGCTTGTGCAGGGAAAACTCCCATTTTTAAAACAATCAGATCTCGTGAGACTCATTCATTATCACGAGAACGGTGCAGGAAAGACCTTCCCCCATAATTCAGTCACCTCCCATTGGGTTCTTCTCATGACATGTAAGAATTATGGGAGCTACAATTCAGCATAAGATTTGGGAGGGAACACAGCCAAACCATATCATTCTGCCCCTGGTTCCTCCCAAATCTCATGTCTTCACATTTCAAAATCAATCACGCCTTCCCAGCAGTCCCCCAAAGTCTTAACTCATTTCAGCATTAATTCAAAGTCGACAGTCCCAACATCTCATCTAAGACAGAGCAAGTCCTTTCCACCTATGAGCCTGTAAAATCAAAAGCAAATTATTTCCTAGATAAATAAGGGTATTGGCATTGGGTAAATGCAGCCATTCCAAATGGGAGAAACTGGCCAAGCTGAAGGCCCTATGCAAGTCGGAAATCCAGCCGAAAAGTTAAATCTTTCTTTTAAAAAAAAAAAAAATATATATATATATATATACACACACACACACACACACACACACACACACACATATACTTATATATATAATTGCACTTTAGGTTCTGGAGTACATGTGTAGAACATGCAGGATTGTTGCATAGGTACATACATGGCAATGTGGTTTGCTGCCTCCATCTCCCTGTCATCTACATCTGACATTTCTCCCCATGTTATCCCTTCCCAACCTTCCTAGCCCCCGCTGTCCCTCCCCTATTCCCCTGCAACAGACCCCAGTGTGTGACGCTCCCCTCCCTGTGTCCATGTGTTCTCATTGTTCAACACCCACCTATGAGTGAGAACTTGCAGTGTTGATTTTCTGATCTTGTGTCAGTTTGCTGATAATAATGGTTTCCAGATTCATCCATGTCCCTACAAAGGACACAAACTCATCCTTTTTTATGACTGCATACTATTCCATGGTGTATATGTGCCACATTTTCCTTATCCAATCTATCATCAATGGGCATTTGGGTTGATTCCAGGTCTTTGCTATTGTAAACAGTGCCGCAATGAACATACATGTGCATTCGTCTTTATAATAGAATGATTTATAATCCTCTGGATATATACCCAGTAATGAGATTGCTGGGTCAAATGAAATTTGTATTTCTAGGTCCTTGAGGAGTCGCCATACCGTCTTCCAAAATGGTTGAGCTAATTTACACTCCCACCAACAGTGTAAAAGTGTTCCTATTTCTCCACATCC